TTATTTATTTATTTGCTTGCATGGTAGAGAAGATGACAGTGTGATTGCTAAGCAGGAGAACTTGAGCTGTTACATGGGTATTAGTATCGGCATCTGATATTGAAACTTCTGTCAGAAAAGCAATTGCTAGGATGGGCGTCATTTGCACCTTCTGCTGCACATGAATCACAAACATGGCACATGCATTTTGACTTTGCATAAATAATGTAACTTCATAGTGTCATACTACTTCTGATCCTTTTGAGAAAAAGATTGATTCACTTTTTAAAAGTAGGAGCTAGAAACAATGAAGAGTCATTTCAATTTATCCCTGGGCTTGAATATGTCACTCAAGAATTGTCTTGAGAGGTGAAGTCTGGGGGTGACAGGGACTTTTGGGTCTGATAACCAATACAGTTTAACTGGTTCTTTGTTGTTATGTATTACATTCAGTTACATTGTTGCATTTTTGGACTCAAATATTGGACATTGGCATTGATTATTCAGCCTGTTTTGTTTGCATTTGCTGTGCAGATGGCTGTGTTGATTACAAAGCAGGAAAGTGTAAGGCAATATGCTGATAACGAAATCCAAATGGTTCGTGGGAGTTCTGGAAAAAGGCCTGGTTTTCCCAAAAGGAGAAAGCTTGTACTGAGTTTTGAAGATGAAGAGGAGGATAACAGAGTCACACTACTCAACGGGGAAGAGACCTCAAACCAAGTCAAGCTATGTCAATGTACGGAATTATCTGGTGGTGCAAATCCAAAAAAGCCTAGTTGTTGCCAAAGCAGTGAAAGTACGATGGAAAATACAAGTTTTTCTGATGAACTGATCAATCTGGGATCACCTCGAAGAAACATGAGAATCTTGTCAAAGAAAAGGAGGAGAAAATGCTTAGATGGCAGAGGTCCATCCAAGAGGCATCCTAGTTTGTCAAACAAGAAAAAAGGTTGCATGCTTCAAGAGGAATCAGAAGAAGAGGAAGACAGAGAGGACAGTCCAGGAACTTCCTCAATGACCAAAACTGCCATTAATCAGCAAAGAATGGTCCTAGATTTTGAAGTTTCAGATGACAAGAGAAATTCAAAAGATTGTTCGAACACTTCTGAAAAGAATAAATTTCTTCAGAACGAATCTATTCAAAAAGGGTTGTGTGAAGGAAAGAAAATGAGGACGCATATAGGTGATGTGAATAAATTAAATTCCAGAAAAGCCATTGGCAAAGCACAAGTAGCTCAGCACCCACCTAAGGGAAGAACCTCAGATAAGAAGAATTCAGAGAGAAATTCTGATGGTTCAAGTAGGAAAAAAGTTTCTGTAGCCAATTTTTTTGCCAAAGGAAATGGGGATGGAAGTGATGATGACTGGAATGAAAGCAAGGAAAAGCCAAGGATATCAACAGCTCAAGTAGATGTTCAAAAAACTGAAGAAGAATTTGAAAGCTCAGATAGTAGAAGAATTTCTGCACGACACCGCTGTGCCACAAACAAGAAATTCAGTTTTGAGGGCGATTATCTTTTTGGGGATTGGATAGATGACGAAGAAGATGTGGTTTTATCATTTGAAGAAAGCACTGTAAGTAGTTACTCAAGTTATGCTACAGTGAAAGGAGGTAGCAGATCAACTTCTGTGCTGACAAAGGGAAGTATTAAGGACATAAAAAGAAAACAGGATAACAATGGCAAAGGCTCTTTGGTTAACTCATCTCCTTCCTCATCTTCCTCTTCTTGGAAGTCAGCTTCGATATGTGATAGGAAAAGTATGGACAGATCCTCAAATGGGAACATCAAGGTAAGTCCCATCTTTTGTTTCTTTCATTACTTTCTCTTTTGATGAAAAACTTGTATAAACAGAAATGTTCATAAAGCAGGTAGAGAAAAAGTGGCATGTGAAGTGTCATCAGTGCCAGAGGAATGACAGGGTAACAGTTGTTCCTTGTACGAAGTGTAAAGAGAAAGTTTACTGCATACAATGCATTAAGCAATGGTAACTTGCTAGCCTTCATTCAACTCTCAAAAAAAAAAAAAGATGTTTGCATTGGTATCTTTTGTTCATTCTTTTAGGAAATCTATAATAACTTGGATGTCTTATTTTTCTGAAAACTTTTGTCTTAATGTAGGTATCCTGAGTTGTCCGAGGAAGAAGTTTCAGAAACATGTCCACATTGCAGTAGAAACTGCAATTGCAATTTATGCTTGCATTCAAGTGGCTTTATTAAGGTTTGTTGGTTTTTTAGAAGTTAACAGCGTATCTTTTTTGTAGTTTCTGAAATACTGGCTGATGTTTTATTCAAATTCTGTGTTAGACATCACAAAGAGATCTGGATGATTCAGAAAAGGTTCGGCATCTTCACTATCTAATCAACCAACTTCTCCCTGTTTTAAAACAAATTCATCAGGAGCAAATTGAGGAGCTAGAAATGGAATCCCGTATTCAAGGTATGCATATTTGATAATAGAATTTGAATTTGTTTGCTTCAATATAATTTTTTTCTGATAGAAATTGTACCATCAGGGGTACCATCATTTTCAATTGAAGTAAAACGGTCAACTTTCTATGATGATGAGCGTGTCTACTGGTACGTTATCTTTTCGCTAAGAGAATATTGTTCTTAACTGATGGTCAACTCACTATGATGATGAACGTGTCTACTGGTTTATTATCTTTTCTCTAAGAGAATATTGTTCTCAACTGATTGGTAACGGAGATAAATAGGGCTTTTTCATCTTTACAGTAATCACTGTTCGACCTCAATAGTTGATCTACATCGAAGTTGTCCAAAGTGTTCCTATGAGCTCTGTCTTAATTGTTGTCGTGAGATACGCAAAGATGAGTTTTTAGGAAGTCATGATAGAGTACTTTACCACTATGTGAATAAAGGCAATGATTATATGCATGGTGGAGATCCACTGCCAGGAACTTTGGATATGGAACGTGCAAGAGACCAGGTTGAACCAGTAATCAGATGGGTTGCCAATGATAATGGAAGTATCACATGTGCTCCAAGAGAAATGGGTGGCTGTGGTAGTTGTCTGCTTGAGCTCAAGCATCTCCTTCAAGAAGATTGGATCTCAACTTTGGAAGCCAGAGCACAAAAAATTTTAGATGATTGCAAAACTAGTCATGCAATTTCATGGCCAATTCTCCAGGAATCTGACCCTAAAAGGTTAAGGAGAGCTGCTTTTAGAGAAGGGTCTTGTGACAACTACTTGTACTGCCCAGATTCATTGGATGTCATGAGGCAGGAGGAGCTTTTCCGCTTCCGTAGTCACTGGGCTAGAGGTGAACCAGTGATAGTTCAGAATGTTCTTGAGCAGACAAGTAGATTAAGCTGGGAGCCGATGGTTATGTGGCGCGCATTGTGTGAGCACAATGATTCAATTGTCAGTACAAAAATGTCAGAAGTCAAGGCTATTGATTGCCTTGCAGGTTGCGAGGTAATTCTACCATTTTCATGCTTTATCCTGTTAGCTTTCGTCTGAAGAAGTGTTTAAATGTAGGATGCCATAATATACTTTGTTTTCTGTCCAGAAAGCATTTTCATTGTCTTTTAATATTGTTTTAACACTTATGCCTTTGGCAGGTTGAAATCAGCACCCGCAAGTTTTTTAAGGGTTACATAGAAGGAAGAACATATAAGAATTTTTGGCCTGAGATGCTCAAACTCAAGGACTGGCCACCATCTGATAAGTTTGACGACCTTTTGCCACGACATTGTGATGAGTTCATCAGTGCATTGCCATTTCCAGAATACACAGACCCGCGAGTTGGTTTCCTGAATTTGGCTGTGAAGCTACCTGCTCATGTCTTGAAACCTGATCTAGGCCCAAAGACTTACATAGCATATGGACTTGCAGAAGAACTGGGAAGAGGGGATTCTGTAACCAAACTTCATTGTGATATGTCAGATGCGGTAGGTGCTGGACATGTCAACATATGTGCGGTCTTTCCATCAAGTCTTTTTCCTTCCCCTTTTAACAAGGATTCATATCCTCATGCTGATGGACCTGTACATTACTTAATTGACAAAAAAAACTTTGGGAAAATAGGCTAGGTTTATAGGGTATTCTTTTCTGATACGAGCATTGCTTTACATAGAAAATTATGCTACACCAAACTGATGTGATGTTTGAAAATCAGTTGTTGAGTTCTGTCTTATAACTGCAATGATTACTTATGCATCTTTAAATCCATTTGGTCTTCAATAGAGCATGTCGCGAGGTCTTTTATGTGGAACCTTTTTGTTTTGCTTTGAAGTTAGCTCTCTGCTGATAGATTGATGGACCAGTAAAACATATTATCTTCACCTGTTTCCATAGTTGAAATGTTGTTGTCCCCTTTTTTCTGTGTTTGCTTCTTTCCTTTTGATTGCTGAATAATGCATAATTCAGAAGCAACTTTTGTCTATTTCCTTGCCTTTATTATTATTATTATTATTGGTTTATTGCAAGCTGATGTCTTTTAATGCTAACTTTTTCAGGTAAATATTTTGACTCACACAGCAGAAGTAGTATTAACTGATGAGCAACGTTCTGCAATTGAGACTTTGAAGAAGAAACATAAAGCGCAGGATGAAAAAGAACATTTTGGAAATTTGAAATTGAATAATGGCTCTAGCTTAGAGAATGTTTGTCAGGTTGGGATGTTTCATGATGTAATAAAAGACGGGAACGCATCTGAAAGGAGTGAAAAAGCAGGAAATATCTTGGAAGAATGTGTAGAAGAACAACCTTGTTCTAGTTTTTCATCCATGGAACATATAGATGAAAGAGGCGGTGCTCTGTGGGACATTTTCAGGAGAGAAGATGTACCCAAACTGAAAGAATATCTTGTAAAACATTCAACAGAATTTAGGCACACTTACTGCTGTCCAGTTGATCAGGTAGCTTTCATTGACACAAGGAAATTTTATTTTCTTAGAACCTTATAATGTACTTGTGCACTTGGGTAACCTTATAATGTTTTTAGGTTATTCATCCAATTCATGACCAGTCGTTCTACCTTACCATGGAACACAAAAGGAAGCTAAAGGAAGAATATGGTTAGCATCCGCCATTGCATTAGCATCTCTTTTTACTCCACACCACAGGAAAATAAAGAAATACTAAACAAAACATTAAATTTACTTGTTATTCCTGTCTGAATCATTTTATTTCATTTTACTAAATGATCTGAATCATTTTAGGTATAGAGCCCTGGACATTTGAGCAGAGAATTGGAGAGGCGGTTTTTATTCCAGCAGGTTGCCCACATCAGGTTCGGAATCTGAAGGTAAAATATCTTCCCCTCTAGCTCATTCTTTTGATGCATTCATTCAACTCAGAACTTTCCTTTGGCACTTTCAGTCTTGTACAAAAGTTGCTGCAGACTTCGTTTCTCCGGAAAATTTACATGAATGCCTTCGATTGACTGAGGAGTTTAGGAGACTTCCAAAGAACCACAAGGCCAGAGAAGACAAGCTAGAGGTAGCAGCCTGTCTTTCATTTATTTGATTATGGATCATTTTTTGGGTAATTGTGTTAAAATGGGAACACCTAGTGCTGTCTGACTGCAGATTCATTTCTGGAACAGGTAAAGAAAATGATTGTTCATGGCGTGAACCAAGCAGTTCAGGAACTTGAACAGTTGACAAATACCAGTATGAAAACATGTGGATTCATTTGGGAGTAACAGCATGCAGATGAAAGAATTGATGGTGTTGATCTATTTGAATTGATACAATGCTTCCTTGGATTTTGGACATTTGCGGGAGAGAAAGTTCAGAGATATCTGTAGATAAAAGACGGAATTAGTAACAGTATTCGCCTTTTCACATACTTTACGCAAAAAGATAAATAATAAAGAAGGCTTTTGGTTTCATTAGCTATGCATCATAACGCTTTTTCTCTTCTGTTCTTTGCTGTTTCCTTTTCTGGTCATATTTTTTTCAACTAAAGCCAACCCTCTTTGCTTCCTCCATGGAAGGAAAAAGTTGCCCGAGTTGCCCATTCCTCGCGGAGAAAAAAATTTAGGGGGGCGTTTGGTAACAGGTGCAAATATTGTGTATGAAACACGGTTCAAAGCCGCGGCCATGGCTCGGACTGTTCCACATCGGTCTCGGTATATCGGTTGTGGTTTCGACGATACGCAAATTTTTGAAATATTTAATATTCTAAAAATTGTAAAAAAAAAAATTAGTAAAAATAATAAAAATTCGAATTGACTCAGGATAACTTGGAGCGACTCAATCATTTCTATCCGTCTCAGAGACATCTCAACCAACTTCTTGGCGATCCATTATCTCGGAATCATCTTGTCTCGGTATCGAAACGGAAAACCTCATTCCGATGACGACTCAACTGAGTCTTTGAACCATGATATGAAATGTAGGCGTGGTAACAGTCCAGTCAAGTCCAAACACGGGTACATTCAAGTTCAATCTCGATTTATCTTGGTTCAAACTTGATGAATACTATATTCAAGCATTTGAGGTCAACTCGATTAAAATAAGCGAGCTCAAACTAAGCTCAAGTCCTATGACTAATCGAGATTTAGGTAATTTCACTATTTTAAGTATATTCAAGTTCAAACTCGATTTACCTTGACTCGAACTTCATGAATACTATATTCAACTCGATTAAAATAAGCGAGTTTAAACTAAAGCACTGTTTCATAACTCAATTCAACACTTAAAGTTAACGGATTCAAATCTTAATATGTCTAGTTGCATTCGATAACCAAAAATAGAACATCTGAATTAATTAAGTGACATTAGGCAAAACTTGATTACAAAAATAAGTGATAAACTATTCACTTATCACTTAATATGATATATACTCAAATGTATCAAATTTAGTACTTAACTATTTAACAACTTAATAGATTTAGACTTTAAATTTCAATTTTATTAAACGCACCCCAAACTCAAGTCCTATGACTAATTGAGGGTTAGGTAATTTCACTATTTTTACCATGTTTGTGTGCACACACATCTGAATATGCTTAAGAAGATGAGTTTAAAATAAGATAATATTAAAAAAATCTCAAAAGGAAATGCGCACACATGGACATACACAGAAGTAGCTTAATTATGCAAAATTATAAGAAATTAAAAAATAGTGAAAATTTATTAAAAATAGCATGTTTATGCAAAACTATAAGAAGTCAAAAAAAAAGTGAGAAATTTTTAAAAAGATAAAGAAATGAAAGACAAAGGAAACATAGACTCATACATACAAAACACATCTACAACAAACTTTCATCAAAGCAAAACGCACCATGAAAATCCCAATTATATACTAGTAGTTTGTCCTGGAAGATGGCTTCCATGACAAGACATTTTTAGAGAGCGAGAACTCAAAGTTGTTTAAACGTGACAGTTTTTAGAAGTTGTGATATTTAGCAATTTAGTTTGTGTTATAATTGAGATGAGAAGTTATTTAATTAATAGTAAAGTAATTTTGCAATTGAGTAGTTTAAGGGGTTGTATTATATCAGTAAAATAATTAAGGCCATGTTTGATAATTCAATTCAGTACTTAAATTTATTGAGTTCAAATCTTAATATGTTTAGTTGTGTTTGATAACGAAAATAGAACATTTGAATTAATTAAGTGACACTAAATTTTCTAAGCAAAACTTTTGTCAAAAATAATTGATAAGCTATTCATTTATCACTTAATGTGATATACACTCAAATGTATCAAATTTAGTATTTAACTATTCAATAACTTAATGGATTAAAATTTCAGATTTTAGACTTCAGTTTATCAAACGCACCCTAAGTTCGATCATATGCGTACTTATTGGTAAAGAGTTAATTAGAAGGGTAAAACTAAAATTACAAAAAAAAATGTGATACTAAATTATTTATACCAAACCAAACCAATCTAAACCCTTATTGCCACTATATTATTATGTGTTACACACACACACACACCATCTGGATGGTGTGTGTGTGTGTGTGAAAAGCTCAACAAGATGCTCAAACAATTCGAGCTTGGGTCAAATTTGATCAAACCCAAGTTGAAATTGAGCATTTGATGGAGCCTATTGTGAGTAACTCAATCCATTGCCACTCTTCTATTGATCTAATTGACCTTAAAAACAAGTTTGAGAAGAATTGACATAGGTTCCCAATTAAACTAGTGTTTGTGTATATTGTCAACTTGTGTAAGCATTAATAATTCATGAAAAAGAAATCAAATATTTTTACATGTTCACCAATTTTATTTTAGAAATTTAACATATTTTAAGTGTTCAACTTTCATATCAAACTTCAAAAGCTTCTATAGATGTATTTATTATAATGTAAAAATATCCATCAAATTATGCAAGACATACTAAAAATTTTATATAATTTTTTGAGATAATTATTAAATTTTTACAATGATTCTAGACCTAGAACTACATATTTATATTCAATTATATACAAAAGAGGCAACAATCTATTTTCTTATGAACGGATATTTAATTTTTAGTAGAGTTAATGAATTTACTACTGTAACAAATAAAATTACTCTAATCCAAGTTAATCCATATGAATAAAAAATAACACATATTAATTATAAAAGATAAAAGTTTTTAGAAAAGAAAGAGAAACCATAATAAAAAATAGTAGACACAAACACAATAACATATAAAAGTAAAATAAAATTGACCGCTCATTGAAATGCATGTTCCACAATGAATTCTATCCATTTAAATTTATGTTAACTCATTTCTAACTTTTAACTATACCTTACGATCACATAATGATTGCATAGAATCTGGATCCATTAGTTGGTTGGCATTTTGACCACCCAAACGGCAAACATTGGGCAAGCTCAGTCAGGTTGGCATCACTGGCAAAGAGCAGCCAACTGCAAACAAGTCTAGCCGATTTGAGTGGTAAGGAGGGCAGCCAGCTGCAAATAAGTGTAGCCAATTTGAGTTTTGATAGGAATGATAATTGGGACGGGTGCTTGCAGGAGCTAACGGGGTGAGGAAAATTTTTTTCCCTCGTTAAGAAATGGACCGGGGAGCGGGGGAGTATACCTCCGCCCCATCCCCCACCCCGTCACCGCTAATATATATCTGTATGTGTGTGTGTGTGTTTGTATATATATAATATTTAATTTAATTAGTTACAACCTTATAATAGTGATATTATTAGTTATATGTATTATATAATGTATATTAGTATATATAATATAATTGATATTATCAATTATATTAATAATTATACATGTCTACTAATAAAAATTATTCATTTGTTATACTCAATGTACTAATACATTTATACTAAATTCTTAATTACACTTAACATAATAATACTTTTTTTAAAAAAAATACAATAATGACTTAGTAGTTGTATTTATTTCAAAAGTGAAAATTTGACTACTTTAGTTGTATTTGTTCATCATGTTTAAATGTATTCAAGTAATTTTTTTGATTTTTTTATGAATTTCAATTGTAAAATTACAATGGATAATGATTTAGTGATGTGCTGATATTTTAGTACTTAATTATCTACTAAATTTGACTATAATTAAATTATTTGACAAATTTTTATTAAACCTACAAGGGAAGCGGGATGGGGCTGGGGCTGGGGCGGGGCAAGGGAAGGAAGGAGCAGGGTTGAGGGCGGGAGCAAGTAGTAGGCAACGAGGAAAGCTCCCCCACCCCAAATCCACCCCGTTGCCATTCCTTCATGCTGGAGTCCAATTTTACTAAGCTTGTGGCAGTGGTGGAGCCAGAAAAAATTTTTAATTGGGGCAAAAGCAACTCTAAAATTTTTTACCAACTCTTTTTTTAGTTTTTTAAGAAAAAAAATATTCACCAACAAGTACAAATGATGCATATATTTCATGAAAAACATCAAAAGACAAACTCAAAATTATTAATGTAATAATAATTTTATTTCAAAAGCAAACTAAACCATTTACAATTGCTTATGACGAGTTTTCATATTTTGATAACAGTTTACAACCTTTTCATTTTGAACTTCACGAAGTATATTTTTCTCAATATAAGTAACTAAATAATTATTCATCCAAGTGTTTTCCATTTTATTTTGTAACCGATTCTTCACTATATTCATCATTGAAAAAACCCTTTCTATGGTAGCTGTAACAACAGGTAAAATCAAAGACAACTTTAAAAGCATATAAATCAATAGATACACAAAACTTCAGGGGATACACTTGAAATTACATCAAATTTTTATAGGTATTATAGAAATTTAAGGGGGCATGGGGGCCTACAAACCAATAGATACATAAAACTCCAGGGGCACAGTTAAAATTACATCAAATTTTTGTAGATATCACATAAAATTACATCCACGGGCCCCACTGCCCCCAGTGTAAATCCGCCACTGGCTTGTGGTTGAGTTCAAGCTTAATCGTGTTCTTAGCATAAAACTTGAGCTTGTACTCAAGTTCAAAAATAATAAAGTTTGAGTTTGAACTTAGTCAATATCAAATAAAAAAACACATTTAATATTTTTTCAAAAATTTTATGAGGCATTTGACTTGAAGGCTTGAGCAAAGCTTGATGTTATACTGAGCTTAGCTCAAGCATTTAATGACTAGCTCAGAAACTCACAAATAATACATTTAACAAGCCAGCTCCCGAGCATCAAGCGTTTAATGAGCCTGCTAGCAAGATGCTTGCGAGCTAGCTCAATTTATTTGCAACACTTGGGTAGCTCAAATGCTCACTCTGATTGATATTATTGGGGCAACCTAACTTCTAGTTTGGATTGCTATTTTTAGGAATTTTTATTAAAAAAGATAATTGAAAAATGTGTTAAAGGAAAACGTAAATTTTTTTCTATGAAAAATTACGACCAAAACAAAGCCATATAAAATTTTTAGAAATCCTTTAATTTCTACTAGTCTTCGTCTGTGTTATTATAGATTTAAATTTTGTCTCTCCCAGGATTTTAGAAATCTTTTTCAGATCCTATCAAAAATGTGATCACTCATAATGTGTTTATGAAAAATGTAAAATTTTTTTATGTGGAAAATTACAATCAAAACAAAAGCATATAAAATTTTTAGAAATCTTTTAATATATACTTGTCTTCGTCTATATCATTATAGATTTAAATTTTGTCGCTCCCAAGATTTTAGAAATCTTTTTCAGATCCTATCAAAATGTGATCACTCATAACTTGTTGACAGTTAACTCCTAAACAAGAAATCCTAGATTTGAGTATTAAATGTTATAGCTATTAGACTTTATCCTTATACTTTTCATAACAAAATGTAAAAAACTAGCTATCGAGACATACTCGATGCATGTGCAATTCGTTCAAAAATATTACTCCCTTTGTTCCATATATTTAGTTATGTTTGGAAATATATGCTTTTTATGTACGGTATGCTCCATCAAATTTTTTTTGTTTTGTTTCACTTTTACCCTTAATCATGTGCTGATCAAAATAAGTAGAAACAATCCCATCACATTTATCTTTATGCATCATTAATGAAGGGGTATAAGGTGAATTTTAGAGTATAAAATAATTAGAAATATCAAACATGACAAATATTTTGAGACAATAAAAAAAAGAAAAGTAGGACACTTTCAATTGAACGGAGTGAGTATTAATTATTCAAATTAGATAAATAGATTGATGAAAAGAAAAAGAAAATGCAAGACTAAAGAAATATCATGTTAAAAGGGAAAAAATGAAAGACAAAAAATATTGATTTATGAAAGATCTCTCTCCCAGCAAAATGTACTAAGGATATCCAAAACCAATAGTGGTATAATAATGGTACAACAACAAGAGAACTACTTTATCATGGTCAATAGAAGAGACTTTTTATGGAGTAAGAATTTAGAAGTAAACATGAAGATTTTTGGTTGTCATGTTTGGCAGTTTAATTTGATATATAATTGGATCAGGAGGAGTTTATAATCATGAAAAAGTAGTTTTGCAATTGTGCAATTTAAGAAATTGTAATATATCAGAAGTTAAGCAAATAAGTTTTATAGATATGTACGTTTATTGGTTAATAGTTAATTTGAAGAATAAAATTAGAATTACAAAAAATGATTCTTAATTATTTACGCCAAACTAAACTTCTCTTCTCGCTCCCGTTTTATTATTGTAGAAATATTACTAGTTTTGCCTCTAAATCCAGTTGATCGCTATGGCCCCTAATGTTACTTAAGTATACATATTTACTAGTTTTGACCCCTAAATGCTAGATGGTTGCCAACTTTGCTTCGAGAGGCGAGGAAAAGGGCAAGAAGAGAAAGGAAGGAAGAGGAGAGAGAGAGAGAGGTGAGATGGTGGTGGCAAGTGACGGTGGGAAGTGGGATGGAAAAGGTGTGGTGGTGTGGAAGGAGGGAGAAGAAGAAAAAAAAGAAAAAAAAAAGGAAAAGAAAAGGAGAAAGAAATTTTTTTTTTCAACTTTCAAATACACAAAGTTTTTCTAAGTGAAACAACTTCTTCTACACTTAAGTTAGAATAAAATTTATTACATTACAAATATTCAAAAAACTTATCATTCAAACGGATTGATTATTTGTTTGCATCAAAATTATAATTTTTATTTTTAACATCATTTTTATGTCACATATATCACATCATAAAAAATATTATAATAATTGTGAATTAATCTTTCCTACACTGACGGTGTATATACTACCAGCGTTGGATGAATGACAATCGTGCAAAAGTTGAATTTGAAATTCAACTTTTGCACATGTCATGAATCCAACGATGATAGTGTATACACTGTCAGTGTAGGAAAGATTTACTCAATAATAATTTAAATAATATTTCAAATAATTTTTTATCTAAATACACTCAGTTTAACCATACCTATGAGTTAGCATCAGTGTAAAATATGGGTTATTATACTTCACAAGAAAAATAAAATAAAAGTAAAACTTGGCAAAGATGTGTTGTTATATAAAAATTAAAAAGAAAAAAAAAAGAGAAAACCTGGGCAAAAGAAGGACTTACAACCAATTCACTGCTCTTCTATCTTTGATTGCCTCCAATAATTAAAGAAAGAAAATTACTCCTCCATCCTTCTCAAAGGTGTTTACCCATGGCTGCATCACCATGAAAGCGAACTACCCTGATAGTGCTAGCAATAAAAAAAAGGGTAAATTTGTGGGCTATTGTGCTATAAGTAAGGGATCCGGTTGAATCCGATCTGATCGGATCCGACCACAAGAATACGATGCAATGGCCGGGAAAGAAACGAACCACCCTACCATCATACGACTGACCAAGACCAAAACCCTGCCTTGAGCGGCCATCCTTAGTATTGATACTCATGTGTAACTTTTGCTCTTCCTGCTTCTCCAGCACTACCTCACCTTTTCTTGTGATGCCGAATGATGCAACCCCTTGGAATTGTCCTTTTATATTTGAAAGGACAGTGCTCTAGGGCTTCACATATAATTGTGGATTAACAAAATTACCCTTTTCATTTTATCCAAGAAAAAGAATTTGAATATCATAATTCGATTTGTCTAATGGATATCACCCGTATGGATTTAGAAGAAGCCACGTATAATGGCACACTAATGGAAAGTAAGGTTTGAACCCTTGATCTTCCACTCCACAATATATGTGATGGTCAACTTCTTCTGGAGAAATTAATTATATATGGATTTAGAAGAAATCACATATAGTGGCACAGTGATAGAAGGTAAGGTTTGAACCCTTGACCTCCCACTCCACAATACATGTGATGGCCAACTTCTTCTAGAGAAATTGATTATATATATAGTAGGTTAGGTGAATACTAAATGTGTTAACGGATGTTTCTATCATAATTTGAAAAAATAAATTTAAATATTATTTAATTTGTATCATAAACACAACATTCAATTACGAATAGTTTTTTTACGTATTGTTCAGAGTAGTCTTTTTTCCAAATAATCTCCTATCCAAACAATAGCCCTGTAGTGCGTGTCTAAGGGTTTTAACAGTTAGAATATCCCTATTCAGTGGACGAATTTGGCTGAGTTCCATCCCCAACTGCAATCCAATCTCTTGGTCTACTTTTAGGCATGCGTCAAATACCAATGACGTGAGAAAAATACGAAGACTTCGAAGCACGATTAGCATAATGAGAAGGTAAAATTACATTAAAGCACAACTAGTACACAACTGACAGCACGTTACGCTCTCCACAGGCATGCTAAAATTAAAGCTAGAATCCTGATGGAGCAGAGCAAGTCAGACAACTAACTTGAATTCACTACTTATGGGATAGGGATTGAGCTAGAATCATGATGGAGAAAGACAGACCTAAACTAATTAGATATCATCATATCACTTCTTACGGGACAGGAAATGATCTTGAGTTCATTCCAATGTCAATTTAACAAAATATTACTTCCTATAAAATAGGAAAAGAATGATATTTCCATCCTTATCTTTTTATCAATGATTCACACCACGAAGGGTACTCTGCAATTACAGGAGTAGTTGTAGAGGTTGTAGAGGCCCATACTGAAGGCATTTATATTCGCAGCATGACCACCTAAACTCACAATTGCCCATATTGGTAATCCTGAAGGGAAACACGGATGGCCTTCATGAAGCTAAACACCGATGGCTCCTCAAAAGGTAATCTTGGGGCAGCTGGTGCTGGTGGGGTGTTTCGTGATCATACAGGTACATGGATGCCGAGGCTTGGGCGACTGGAGATGGACTTCACATTGCAATTGAGAAAAAAATTCGCACACGTTATTGTTGAATCTGACTTTAAAGTCACTACTGATTTGATTGCAGAGCATTTGTCCAGCAGATTCCGCAAGTGAAGTTTAAACATGTATTCAGAGAATCAAACAGGTGTGCAGATGAGTTGGCTAAACTAGGAGCTCAGCAAGAGGAGGATTTTGTTTTGCACCTGTTCCCTCCTCCCCGGTTCTGTTAGTAGTATTAGTATATGCACTGATGACATTCGAGGAGTTTCATTTCCTCGAATGATTGTAGAAGATTTGCATTCATTTGATTTAATCTTCTGATTCTACCAACTAAAAAAAAAAAAAACCTTGGATAATATCAAAAACCTTTAGACGTTGTCATGAAAAAAAGAAAAGAAAGAAAAGAAAGGAATAATATCAAAAACCTTCCTTGACATTTCTCGTATTATCTTTTTTTTTTTTTGTCGACACAGGGGTGTCCGGGTCAATCCTTACGGGGCCCGACTAATCCCCTGCGGCCCGGATCCGGCGCCCCAACCCGACCCGAACGCGTTAAGTGCGCGGAGGAATCCAGCGTAGCGGAGACTCGAACTTGTGACCTCAAGGTTCACTGGTGAGAGGCGCTGCCGCTGGACCATTCACGCGGGGCGACATTTCTCGTATTATCACTTGGCACTTTTTAGGTTTTTAGGATTTCACCTGCCTCCCTTGGATAGGATTGATATTTTAGCCTCTTTGGAGGAAATGCAAAAAAGATGAATTTTTTTCCCAACAGTACCCTTATGTTATCCTACTTATGAAACTTACAATAACAATAAAAAATAAAATAAGGTTAACAAGTTAAAAGTTAAAAATACGAGCAGTTATAAATTCAATAACGAGTAATTTTATAGTTATACAACAACTATTACCCAGTATAATAGATGACGTTTTAACCCAAAAAAAAGGGATATACCTAGGTACATTTGGTCATTAGATCTTTTTTGATTAACTTTTTAATTCTGACTTATTTATAATTTTTTTTCTATAAGCAAGATTTGTATTACAAACCACACGTATGATGAGATGGATTTTAATTTTCAGTACAACTTAAATTACATCATGTATTAAAATATATTTCTTGACTTCCTTGTAACTGTTCCACAAAAATTTCAAGGTATTAATTACTTACCAAAATTCTTCTGAGTTGTTGATTTTGACTAGATTTAATCTCAGAAGAACTAAGCGATATCATAAGGAATCATAAGAGAGATCCCAAAATTATCCCAAATAGAAAAGAACTTCATTTTTGTTGTCTCTACTACTCTAAGTAGAGATAAGGATAGTAGAGAGAGAATATTTATGTTGATTCAATCATTCTTTTAAGGTTACAAGTAAGGCTTTCTGTCATAGGTAATACAAAACCAAATATACATGTACTCATATTAATTTCAATATATAATTTAATAGTTCAAGTATTTGAAATAAGTAGTTCGATGAACTCATGAATTACGAGGAATTTAATTGATCATTTTAAGAAGAAAATGAATGCACATCCATACTTATCATTTTGTTAATTATTATAATAATTTATTTTAAGAGAAGTTCAAAACCTTATAATAATAAAAATAAAGAAATAATTTGTGAGTTAAACCAGAAACCTCACATGAACGAAAGAATTCTACATTTTTGAGCATATAATCCTAAAATATTTCACTGGATTGGAAATCATGGGGAAAAAAAAGTACTAAAAAAAAATTTAATTCGATAATCTCACGAAGTTAAATACTAACATAAAACAAAAGTCTCGAATACAAAAAATGTAATCTTACAGTTTAGCTTATGCATTAGAATTTTGAAAGTAATGTTACAAAAAATGTTAAAGTAGTAAGTAAGAAGTTCCGGTTGGAAGACCACGCTTTTGTCTAAAATCGCTTCAAAAACCTCTCAATTTGTCCTAAACTTGAACCAATGGCACCTCCTCTCCTATCCTTAACTACTGGAAACCAACACTCCCTCCTCTTTCTCAGTTAGCCCCTCAAAAGCCCAAGGATGTACACCCAATTTCACACCTCTACTCTCCTTCCTACACTCCCACTAACTCATTCTCCTCCACTGTCCCGCCGTACCATCCTCCTATACTCTCATCGCCTGCCACCCCTTCACCGTCGACGACCCACTTCCCTTCGTTTCCCACTTAGAATTTCCAGTTGTATCAATTCTACTGGTACTATCAGCAGTTCTTTAAGTACTGAAGAAGAAGAGGAGAGACCCAGTAATAATAAGAGAGTGAAAGCCTACCCATTTCATGAAATAGAGCCCAAGTGGCAGCGATATTGGGAGGAGCACAAAACTTTTAGAACCCCACATGATGATCTTGACACTACCAAGCCTAAGTACTATGTTCTTGACATGTTCCCTTATCCAAGGTCCAATCTTTCTCACACTTTTTAAGCCTTTTCTCCTCTGGAAATGCTCCTGGATATGCTGTGTGACTCTGTAATTATGTCATTCTTTGCTGTATGCAGAAAGAAAGTTTATTTTGTTTCTTAAATAGAAGTCATTCAAATTCGCCAAAAAAAAAAAGAGAAAGAAGCTGACTTTCTGTATGCGTTGAAAGGTAATTCTTCTTCAAATGCATGAGGAAGCTACTGTAAGGTTGCTATATAAAAAAGAAAAATGGATTTTTTCTTTGAAGATATCTTCCAAGCAGGTCTAATATTGTCTGAAGTTGGACCTTCCTAGAGCCTAAACTAGCTGGAACTTTTACACGGTGTTTTCTCTATCTTTATTTTGAAACGTATCTATTGTATTCCTGTTTTTCATAGAGTAGAATTGAATGTGAGTAAAGGCGTGAACTTTGAAAAATTTTAACGACTATGGGGCTAAGTTTGTAATGGCGTTACTCCAAATAATGTTCCTTGGCAACAGAAATTTTGATTTTGACTAAGGTGACAAATTCTGTGACCTGCCTCGTTGAGATGGTGGTTCTGTCTCTGATTAAATCATTGTTACAGCGGAGCTGGTTTACATGTTGGCCATCCTCTTGGATACACTGCCACGGATATCCTTGCTAGGTTTAAGCGAATGCAGGGGTTCAATGTTTTGCATCCAATGGGATGGGATGCTTTTGGTTTACCCGCAGAACAATATGCAATCCAGGTTGATTAGCAAATTCGTGAACATGTCGGCACAATTGGCTATTAGGCTGTGAAGGGTTATTAATATTGTAACTCTTGTTTGCTTGTGTTTGACAGACTGGAACACACCCAAAAATCACGACATTAAGAAATATTGAGCGCTTTCGTTCCCAGGTTATTTGAGAACCCTGTTGATTCATAGTCTGCTTGATAAAGGCCTTTTCCATGGTTATCATGCTTTATTCAAGTTTTTTAATATTGACTTCTAGATTCGTTGTTGTTACCGATTCTCTTGTAAAATGGATAGTAAATCTCTTCTTTTAGTAGGCGTTATTTAACTGGATGTGTATTTAAGTTAATGAATCATCGAGATTAAAAACACATACTTATGACTGACCTGGAGAAAAAATGCTTGCTCTCAGATGCTGAATCACAGTACATAATGATGATATTCTGCCCTTGATTCTGTTGTTCTGTGGATTTTTTTTTTTGTTATCTAGATGTTTTGCAGACCAATTAATGGTCGGGTATTTTTTTTCAGCATACGGTTTCTGAAACTATATTTAA